ACTTTTCTGTTTTTGTATGCAAAAATGTGTCATGGCTTTTCCAACAACCCGATAGTTTTCTGCTTGTGGGTCTCGTTTTTAAGGTTTGTTAGGTGGCACCAGAACAGTATTTCGTTTAGGACTAATTTTCCCCATTACTGAGGCAAAACCCTTTTGAGTGTCCAGCCTAATATCCCGTGAATTAAAAGGATTTCCCATCTGGTTGATGGGAACAGACCCTATTTCCGGCCTCACATGAGCACAGAGAATTGTGCACTTCTAGAATTGTTCCTTTTAGGCAGTTCTTTCTATGGCCTTGGGTAGTTTCCTTACACAAATACTCTGTTCAGTACTCAGGGGATGTTCTGTAAATCTCGTAACCCTCTTCGCATATAACTCGCTTTTTTCTGGTACTCTGCTCACTGAATTCTAGCTTGGCCTTTTGTAACTTCTTTTGGATAATACTTAAAAATTGTAAATTTTGGGACCAGCAGTTAGCGTAATGGCTATGTCACTGGACTCCCATGTAGTCGACTGCGTTTTGAGTCCTCGACCCGGTGGCTTAAACTCACACTGGGCATGTGTGTGTATGTGCCCAAGATCCCAAGAGGAGAATGGAGAAGGGATTGTGGGGTGGCCATCCCCCCTGGGAGGGTGATTTCTTGCTTTCTCTCTGTCTCTGTCTTTCTGGAGAGTGCACGTGCCCTATACCAAAAACCTCTCTAAAAAAAACTGTAAATTTTAGGGGCAGGAGTAGAAAATTCACAATTTTGAAATATACCAGGGTAAGTCTGACTTGCAGTTTACAACGCAAAATTACATGATTGATAAAGTAGAAACCTCTGTAGGAGAACAAACTTGTTTTGACTTGAATTTTCTCTTAGTTCTTATTCATCTGTTTTATGGTAGAACACCATCTATGTCAAGTGAATTGACCCTTCCCGTATTTATGCCACAGTAATCACATTTTACACACAGGTGTTACTGCCAATTGGTATGCAAACTTGTTGGGTAAGGCATTTGTGTTATTGATCATTCTGAGCTGGTTCAGGTTAGCTGAGTGACCTCAAGGACACAAGTTACATCCCCCTACTCTGTCAGCTGTCATTACTCAGGAGAAAATAGGTAAAAAGACTGACTTGGGTTGATTGGTGTGCAGTGCCCTGGTGAGACTCCCAGACTCCTGCTTTTTCTAGCCTGGGAATTTTGAGCAGTGGAAAGAGGATGCCTTTGGAGCAGACAGATGTGTGTGCGCTCTCTGGCTCTACCACCTACCAGCTGTGACCTTGAGCAAAATGCTTAGCCTCTTTGATCTTGTTTCTTTAATCACCACGCCACCTGGTGGCCCAAATGATAGAACTCCTGTAGATGATTGCTGGCAGAGCAATTCCCATTCCTTCTAACCTCTTTCTGAGCTCTAAGCTTTCCCAATACAAAACTCAATTCCTCTGAGGAGAGTCACCTCTGGGGAGACAGACAAACTTTGCTGAGCTGCACAGCCTGAGATACGGCTACTGGGACCCCGAAATACTGTGGACAGCCATGCTGGGTAGCCTGTGACAGGACAGACAGGGCAGTGACCTTTATAAGACAAACTGTTTACTTTCAGTTTTTAACTAATGAGTTTTTTCAACAAAATGTGGAGCTGGAGTTGCACACCCTGAGATACGCCTACTGGGACCCCGAAATACTGTGGACAGCCATGCTGGGTAGCCTGTGACAGGACAGACAGGGCAGTGACCTTTATAAGACAAACTGTTTACTTTCAGTTTTTAACTAATGAGTTTTTTCAACAAAATGTGGAGCTGTGACTTCTTATTACAGAGGACAGAGGGGGCCATTACTTCATCTCCTCTGTAGCCTAACATCTTCATCAGTGTCCTTGTTGCCACACTTCAGAAGCCCTGGGTGTACACTGCTTTGATCACTTTGGTGGAGATGTGCTCTTGCTTTGTTAACAAAGGTGAAGGGAGCTGTACCCTTGCCCTTCTCTCCTCTTCTTGACGCCCCTTCCTGTCCCTGTTTGGTTAAGGTTTGCTTTACCACACAGGCCGAGTGCCCCCTTCGCAGGGATCATACTGAGCCAGACACAGCCTTCTGGTCCAAAGTCACATCTGCTTCCCAGGACAAACTACTCAGTGACTCCTTGGCAGGGGGTGTAAAGAACCAACCCGTTTCTCCTATTCAGGATAACTCAGGAAGGCTGTCCTAGTCTCTGTGACAGAATGATGGCCCAGCTTTGACCTCTAACTCTGCTTATATCCCTTCTCCCAGAGGCATGGATCCTGACAGCTTCCTGTGCGCTAATGTCTGTCTAAGCCTACTTTCTAGGGGAACCAACCTGATAATTATGTTCTGGATTTCTATTACTGAGTAGTTATTTTCTCTTTCTTTATTATTATTTTTTGAGATGTTTTTGCTATAAGGCGTGTGTGATCACCAGAGAGAGAGAGACAGAGAGACAGAAAGCGAGAAATCATCCCCCCCCCCCCAGGGGGGATAGCCACGCCGCAATCCCTTCTCCTCCATTCTCGGGATCTTGGGCATGCATGCACACGTGTCCAGTGTGAGTTTAAGCCACTGGGTCCGGGACTCAAACCGCAGTTGACTACATGGGAGTCCAGCGACATAGCCATTATGCCAACTGCTGGTCCCCTGAGTAGTTATTTTACAAGTTTAGTAAATTTGGGACAGTGGGTGGTGTGGTGGATCCCACATAGCTGATTGCATGGTTCGATTCATAGACCAGGCTGCTTGGAAAACATGCTGGGTATGTGTGTATGTGTGCATTCAGAGTCTGGGGAAGAGGAGACTGGGGAAGGGATCGCAGTGTTCCCTCTACCCTTGATGGAATGATTTTGATTTATTTATCGCTTTGCACCCATCTCCTCAGCGAGGGTATGCACCGCAAAACTTAGAAAACAAAATAAAAAAAAAAAACCCAACAATTTAAAATGTACTGAAACCTTTTTAGAGGTTCAGAATATGGCATAATTTAGTGAATGTTCTCAGTGCACTCGAAAAGAAGGTATATTCTGCTGTTTTGGGGCAGGGAGTTCTATTATTCAGGTAAGTTTATTATTTCTTGGTTTTTGATGTTCTGCAGTTTCTCTATACATATCAAGAGGTGAATTCTTTATTATTTATACTGCTAGGTATTAGCTGGATATATAACAGGGTATCTTTCAGCTGTTCTGAAATATCACTAGGTATTAGCCCACGTGTTATCACTGACACATTTGCTTTTTTTTTTTCCTTTGGGAATTCCAGTTAAATGACTGTCAGACTTGCTCATTCTTTGGTTCATGCACTTTATTCCCCAATCCTTTATCTCTGTGTTGCATTCTAGATAAATTATTTTGATCCATTTCTTGGCTCAGGTTTTTCCTCAGTCACATCTACTAAGTTCAATTTTAGATAGTATAATTTCTAGGTTTTCTTTTTCAAATATGCTTTTATATTTTCCTATTCTCTTTAGCTGTTCTTTGACTTTTATATCTGTATACATCCACAGAATCTTTCTCCAGGTAATGCTTTCTTTGTAGAACGGGTCTTTACCTTTAATACCCCACTTTCCTAACTTATTTCTTGAAATTTCTGGGCTGGTGTTTGTGTGTGGAAAATTTGTTTCCTAAATAAAATTTTAAATTGAAACAAAATAATGTGCAGAAAAAACCTAACATATTTTAGATACTATTGGTGGAGGTAGAAAGTCTGGAGCAGTGTAGTACTGAAAGTTTGACGGCCAATGAAATAAAGTGAATACGTGTACTGTGGTTTGAAATGCTTCTACCAAAACTCATGTTGATACTTGTCATTGTAACGGTATTAATAGGTGGGGCATTTATGAGATGATTAGATTATGAGAGCTCTTCCCTTGTGAATGGATTAGTGCTATTACTGTAAAAGTTTGTCCCTACTTCTTCTCTTTGGGAGCTTGGTCTTTCTGCCATCAAATGACCCTTATCAGTTGCTAGCACCATGCTTATGACTTCCCTACCGCTAAGACAATGGGCTGAATTAGTTTCTGTTCTTTAGAAATCACCCAGTATCAGGCATAAATAGTCACAGCAGCAGGAAATGGGTTAAGACTGTGTGATACATATTGCTGGCCCTAAGAGAAGCAATGGCAATATTATATTTGTTCAGAACACACTTCAGAGTGTCTTTTCTAACTCTTGAGGTGGGTGTTTGATTAGGTCCGATATAAAAAATTATTCTAGGTTATAATTATTGGTGCTATCATACTTCAGTACCCTGATTATATTAAAATGAAATCTGAAACCTAACCCTCCTTCAGCTCATATTCAAATAAGGTAGGGAGGTTTTCTGTTTCAGAGTTGTGCTCTTTTTAGGCATACAGCTTTCTTGGAACTGGCTATCTGAATAGGATAAAAGTCATTAACGTTCCTTACTAAGAACTGCTTGATGTTGATCTAGTCCTTCTATTCCAGAATGTACTTTTTACATAGTTGAAATTTATTCCAGAGTAGACCACTAATCATCTAGAATTATTTTCCTTGCCCTGTGCTGGGGAGCTGAGGATGCTGAAAGAATGTTTGTGTAACATTGTGGGCTCTTTCTGATGAGCCTCAGTAGGAGACCATTATGATATGAAGAGGTTTCTCATCTTTACTCTTAAAGAACTGGCATGTTTTTACCTTATAGAGGCCTTGAATTCTATGATGGATCAACATTCCTTGTTACTGATATATGCCCAGGAAGCTTGAAATTGTGTTTAACACTTTAGAAGATAAGTATTTGTAATTGTCCATTCCAAATCATGGTGGTGGTGTCCTGTCATTATATAAAAAAGACATGTAATAGGTGTGCCAAATGGAGAAGAGCCATAGCCACCTAAAATCTTCTAGGCACTATGGGAAGGTGTGTTTACAACTAAATGTAAGTAGGGGGATTCATGAACCAATTAAGTTACCTTAGCAAACTTAAAAGTTTAACCAGCTTTCTGTCCTTCCAGAATACTTTCTCGTTGGACAGGTACTACAGGAGAGAGACTAATGTTATGTTTGAAATACTTTATTCTTTTAATCAGTACATATTAAGTATTCAATTTCTTTAACAAATTACCAAGTAGAGTTTCACTGTTAGGATATTGACTTTTTACGAAGGTTCATCTGTTATTTTTGCCCAAGTTGTGACAGCTAGAAGACAAAACACAAAATCACATCTGTAACTGTTTAATCAGAAAAGCAGCTTATGCATTAAATTCCTATTTTTATCACAGTAAAACCTAGAATTCTAGGAATACAGTGAACAGCCTAAATTTTAACCGAATGCTCATCACTAACTCAACATATGTAAAAATTGAATAGTAATGGCACGGAATAACTTATAACAGGTGCAAAATAAACTCATTGAGAACATGAGGACAAAAAACCCTGGGAATAAATAAATCAATACATGAAGTATGAAAACAGAAATGTCATGAATGATTTAATTGATGACAATTTCCATGTATCTTCATATTGGCTCATCTTTCCCAAAGATTAAAATGTTCAATATGTAAAAACCACTAGTCAAAGTCTGGGAGGAGCAATAAAGGAAGCAGATTAAGAAGTGCTAGCACTGGGTGAGTTCCTTGGTGTTTTGGTTCTTAGCCTTGAAGACAGGACATAATTAGTACTATATGAAGGGACTTCAAAAGTATATGGCCAGCGGGGGCTCGCGCCCCGAACGGCCGGCCCCCCTCCCTGGCCTCTCCGGCGCTGGATGTCCCGGAGGCCGAAAACAAGGTTGAAGAACTTGCAACTTGAGAAGATGATAGC